CACACACACACACACACACACACACACACACACACAGACAAAATTAAGGGTAATGCTATGTACCTACGTTGTCTGACAAGATCTAAATTTCCAGGTTTCTCCTTCGGTGCGCTTTTGGTGGCTCCAATGTCACTAATTGGTTTCTATTTTCGGAAGCGGAGAGCTCTAGCCTCTTCAATTACCAACACTGGCTTCTGTGTGGCCTTTATTGGGATCCCACTGATCACAGAGATGTTGCGGTAAGTCTCAGTCTACTGCTGTTTTTGTTGTAAAGTTAGGTTCTTTGTCTTGCATTGAAAAGAATATTATATGTCAGGCAATTTCAGGTTTTGGTCTTTGTTAAGAGGTGTCGTATAAGTCAATTTGCTAAACTATCATAGTCGAAATAGCATGCCACTATTTTTATAATTTTAAGAAAATTAATTTTGCTTTGCGAATACATGCATGCCCCTCCCCCCACCAAAACCCTCTGAGATTTTTTTTTGGCTCCCCCCCCTTTTTATGTTTCAAAAAAACTAGTAAAATATTACTACACAGTTTGGGCCTGTTGTAGTATTACAGTTCATATAAAAACATCTATAATCCCATAAACTTATAATTTGTGGTGAATATAAAGTCAAAATTCATGAAAAGCAGATAAAAATGAACAAGAAAAGGGGTTTAGAATATCTGCGTATGAGAAGGGTCTATAAGTAAAGTTTAGGCCCTAATACCAAATTTGGAAAGTGTACTATACTTTTGATTGTGTTTTTGGTAGCAATTTTAGAAAATGTGTCTGTCCTGTGAAGATATTAGTCAAATCTTTATCTGTGAATATCTCGGTACTTTTCCTTGGACACTAGCTTAGTGGACTTTTCTAATACTGAACCGCCATTCACCTTGTCAAATATCGTATTCATTTGAAATGGTAAATTTTGTCTTCTTTTTAACTGTACCAAAAACCCAAGGTATGAAATGTGTGTACAGTGGACCAAATCGTCAGGACACATCACAAATGATAATTTCACCAGGACATTTTGTTGATGCATATTATTTTTGTTTATCAGCCTTAATTGTAGCCTAAAGGTGAACAAGCACTTAAAACATTGCCGGCTGTTCAGATGTATTAAACCCAAAGTTTTTCATTTTCTTGCAGCTTTGTAATCTTTGGTTTAAGTTAAAAATGCTCCTGAAACATTAATTTTGTTGAAATTCTAATTTTATACATGTATGTGGAAAAAGGCAATAAAAGATATTTAATTTGGGTACAATTTTAAAAAAAATGGAATACTCTTTTTTGTATCTCCTGAAAAATAACTGAAATTTCAGGGCTTAGAACAACTGGACAATTTGCTCCTCTTTTTTGTGTTTTTTTATTCTCTTGGCACTTATATAACCAAATAGAATTGCAAGTGCAGTAAAAATGCTCCTAAAACTAACTAAACAACGTACATTGTGGTAAAGGAGATGTTCTAAAGGAGTCTCAAGGAATTGACAGTCATATGACTCTATTGATTTTGTTCTCTAGATGGACAAATACAAACTGAGGTGATTTCTTTTGCTTAGTGCTTTTGTTTTATTTTAGTTGCAGTGATTTTTTTTTTGATTTTTTTTTTTTATTACTTATTTTTGAAGTTCAATTTTTCTACCAAAGCTTGCAGTAAGCTTTTTAACATATCAAACTGAGTTCTTCATATATTTTCAGTATGTACTACAAAGATGAATATCTGTATGGGCCTTACTTTTGGGAAAAAAGTAAAGTTACCCCCCCCCCCCTCCTCCCACTCCACACAGATACACACACAAACACACACCCCCTCGCTTTGCTTTACCCAAATGTGCAGATCAGCTGGGATCACTGTAGGGGTCACAGTGGGTTGCTTATGCATCACAGTTTAACTCTTAGGTTGTCAAACTCAAATTACATACAGGGGCTGCTGGAGATAGAGTCTGAGCTATGTAAGAAGAAGTGCTGCCAGGGCTCTAGCTATTCAACTAATTAAGATTGAGTATATTGGTACTTTTTTTTTTCTAATTCTCTATGGGGTCCAGTCTCACCCAGACTCTACAACCTCTAGTCGTCTACTCTTATATTATGATCTATTTGCGTTGCAAGTGTTGTAAAACTTTACCTAAAATTAAAACTAAACTCTTTCCTCAAAGCATTGAAATATAGGCTACTCTGTGTACGTATCTGGTGCAGTGTGCTTACTTACTAGTGCTTTTTTTCTAAAGAGTTTGTTGTAGTGGGTTTTTTACTCTTCAAATAAGGAGAGAGAGAGGGTTTGGTTGTATTAATAGGCCTTATAGCTGTTGTCAGCTGGAGGGTTAAAGAGACATATTTTAAATGCCTTTCTCATAATTTTTTTTTTTTTTTAAATTTCAGAATCAGGAATAAGTTCCTCAACATTTAGAATAGGGAAATCCATCTCACCTTTTTAGGTATAGGCAACCATTTTTTTGGTCCTATTTTGCAGCATCACAAACTTTCCTGCAAACCCTCTCCTATTTAAACTGTTTGCATAAAAACCAAACTGAGAGAAAATGAGTGATCTTTTCAATAATCATACAGTTGTATTTTAATGCTAGTGATTTGTAGATTTTTGTTATAACTGAATTGATTGTAAACAACAGAGTGATACTACTGTACATGCCAACTGAACTGGCTTACGTAGGCTATGCTGAGAGTTAAAAGGCCAAGTAGGCCTAATTACAGTACAGTTGAAATTGTCTAAGATGGTAACCCATTTTGTATGAGAAAAGTTGCCAACAGGTGATGGTCTTTCACAGTGTCATTGTAATGTAGGGCTTAATAAAAAAGGCAAGGGAGAAATGAGGGTTGATCGTTTGTACAGATAATTGTTACACAGGGTCGTAAGAAGAGGTTCAATATTGTATTTTGCTCTCAGCGATCATTGTACGCAATATGGGTTAGGTCTACGTGGTGGTGGTATTTTTTTTCCTTTTAAAAAGATATAATTTTGTCACTAGTATAACCATTACATTGTTTTCTAACCTTTGTTTATCTTTACATATTGTCTGTTATTGCCTCACTGTAGATGGCTGAAGTTGTGTTAATAATTTTTAGTTTATTTTTGTCACAATTAAGTAAGCCTACACATACATATATAATATTTGTTCACCAGGCGTAATAGTTTATCGCGTATTTTATTGGAATATTCTCTCAATGTATAGCTTACTAAAGGCAAAATTCAAATTAGTAATGTAGAAAATTTCTTTCCAGAAAAAAAACAACTACACAAAGACAAAGAAATACAGGTCTATTCCTTACCACACCTGTAAAATATTAAGAGACACCCTTATTTTTTCCTTTATTCCAGTCATATTGACTATGACTGTGGGCATATTAAAGAAATGGAAATCCGAGGGGAGGGAAGTTGCAATTAGGCAATCTACTAAAGTCTTCTTCTATGTCTTCCACCCTGTCAGAGCTGCACCATACATTTAATTTTAAAATCGTCTGCCAAGACGCAAAAGGCCATGCTCCAAATGATGTATGACTATATTATGTATGGTACATTATTTAGGTATAGCTTATGTCAATGACACAGAAGAACGCAACCCATTGTTGAGGAGAAAAGTGGTGTCTTAGACGGGTGGATAGTGTCTTGCACAATGCCATTATAATAATAAAACATACGGGGGGGGGGGGGGGGGGGGGGGGGAGTAGCCATTTGTACAAGGGACTGTCTTATACAGGTAGCCACTAGAGAGGATTCGCCTGTATATGATTGTTCTATGTATCCTTATAGCTTACTTATGTCATATTATTTATTGGTACATAATCTGGTTGCTTACTTCACTTTTAGCCTACTTATGCCGTTATTCTATTGAAACACTAACCAAATTATTAATATAATGTGCGTATGGTTTGAGTGTGCCACTGGTAGGTCTTATTTCTTTACTTTCTCTCTCTCGTTTCTGTCTATCTTACCTTTTCCCGGCTCTAAAAGACCATTATTATGCTGAAATGCTTTTTTTCAACTCTACCAACCAAATAAAACAAATATGTTATTTCCTATATGTCCTCAAAGCATACTTTTGTGTCTGGATAGATAACAACAGCCTACTTGATGTCGCATATTAAAAAAAAATATTTTCCAAATACATGATTGCTCTATGTGTCCTTATAGCCTACTTTTGTCATTTGTTTTGTACATTCTGGAATACAGATATTATTTGATTGCTCTATGGATGCCCTTATTTTCACTGTGCGTCTGTTGTGTTTATTGTGCAGAATCACATATGGTGTACAAGGATGTCTCTGGATTCTGTGTGGCATCGAGATGCAGCTGCTGGTATCTAGTATGTTTCTACGATCGGTGGAATCATACAGGTACAGTCAAAATTGTCCTAGGCGACCTCTCGTTGTTGCTCAATGTGTCATTATAACAGGCCTACTCTCAAAATTGTTACGGATGGCCACCCACTGTCAAGGAGAAAAGTGGTTGTCTTAGACATGTGGACATTTTGGGCAGTGTTATTATAGTATTTAAAAGTGAGGAAGTGGGAAGTGGTCATTTGTATTGGTGATTGTTTTAGATAAGGGGCCCTTAGAGGGGATTCAGCTGTAATTTAAAGGCTTTGACCACCGTGCTCTCTCTGGACAAATACATGTAGAAGGCAAATATGGCAGAGGATGGACCCAGAGAAACTTACTTGGAAAACCTGAACGAATCAATGACAGGGAAAAATACAAGATAATAATATATACTTTTTTTTAGATCAGAGCCTGAGGGCGGAGAAATGAATAGAGAACCGTGATCTTGGATGTCTGTTCCAGATCTGGCACTTGATGATGATGAATATGATAGATTCATTTATTTATTTGTTAGAAAGCGCAAATGAACACATGTCGCTAAAATTGAGAGGCTACATTATGATATAATTGTATCTATGTTAGAACGGAGCCTGTTTATTTAAGAATACATCTTTTCTTTTGTACCCCGTGTTCCGCTTTGAAAGTAAGCCACTGGAAGCTACTCTAGTGTGGTTTGATCTTTCTTTCTATTTTATTTTCACTGACCTTTTCTCTCCTTCTTTTCTTTGTATGTTACTCTTTAGTAACACCTTTAATCTTCAACACTTAAGTGACCTTATAGTGTTGCAAGTGCCATGAAACTCCTACAAAATCTAAATTAAGAGGCTGTAAAGTTATGATTGCATCTTCATATTCCCCAATTTCTGCTTTCATTAGTAAAACGGCAGTTAGTAGTCAAATAAGAAATTGTCATCTAAAATTGAATTATATAAAAATATTCAATCATTTCATAATAAAAAAGGATCAGAATTTTGTAAAAACAGTAGCGTATGTTATATTACAAAAGGGTATATTTTTGTTCTGTGCATTGGTTTCTCTTGAAAATTTCAGTAGTTGATGTGAAATCATAAAACTTGTTGGTTGAAATGTTACAAAAATATTGTTTTTAAGATTAACTGTAAAAATTCCCCCCCCCCCCCCCCCCATTTCCACCCTTTTTGTTTTCGTAGAACTTTATATGCAAAGAGTCAAAGAGACAAGGCCAAAGCTTCAGCCACTGGGAAGTCAGGGACTGACAGCAATATTGTGTCAGGGGAAGGTGCCTACGATCTTGTCGACAACAAACAGAGAAATAACAATGGGCAACCACAAAACGGAAAAACTTCTAAAAATACCTCAGTCGTTTTGCGGGATAAAGAGTGTGAGGATTTCAATTTTGCTGAAATCTGTCACCGCCAAAGATCAAAATCTGACGCTAAGTTTCTCCAAGATTTCCACAACCAGCTCTCGAAAGGTCCTCTGCTGGCCACAAGCCTGAGAGAGTTACGTCGACTGCCAAGTTCATCCTCGGACACGCCCAATGGTGTAGATCAGTTTGACCACTACAGGAGCCAGCTGAGCATCATCAGTGGAGCGGACATGCCGTATTTACCGCCAGGTATTCAGGCGGCCGACGTTGTAGAGGTTGAGTCTATAGAGAGTGGTGACCACAAGAAGAAATCTCGCTGCTGTTCTTTAAAGAGAATCATCGATACTTCCTTGTTTAAGGTGAGGGGAAATCTCATTTTGTTATCTCCACAGATTTAAGATCATAAAGGCATTTTTATTTTATTTTCTTGAGCTGTGTTTAGTATCATATGGTGTCAGTAGCTGAAAACTCCATCAGTGGCCCAACTTTGTGTCCTTAGGAAAGATACTTAGCATGACTTTTCCTCACTTCATTTAGGTGTGAATGGGTGCCCAGCTGTAGACAGCTAAACCTCTAGTCAGCATGTTTCTGCTTTAGTGATTGTACATGTAAAAGGCAGCTTGAACTGTATCGTTCTCGGGGAGTTGACAGTGTTTGAAAATACACTGGGGTCTGTAATAATTTTAGTGTACAGTCGTTACTGCCTTTACAGTTAAATGAAAAAAAAGTAATTTTATTGATCCTCTATATATGAAGAAAGTAGCATTGCTATTTACCCAGCTTCTGGCCCCCAAAATTAGAATTCATAGCGTCACATCGACACCGTCATACACATATATGCAGTTACTCCCGCCTCCCCCAGCACATGCACACAAAAAAACATGCTCACACAAACACATTTACATACTTCACAGACACACACACAAAGGTAGACACCCCTCCTCCTTCATAAATATGCACAAAAACACATACTCACTTACACAAAGACATGCACACATAAACACACATGCACAAACACTTACGCACTCCACATACACACATACATATACACCCGCTCCCCAACACCAATACATATACACCCAGAGGACATACACACACACATACACACTCATGCACACACACACATATACTTACAGACACACACACACACACACACACACAGACACACACACACACACACACACACACACACAAACTCCCCCTTCCCCCATCACAAATACATATACACACAAGGCATACACACACACTCACATACCCACCCACACCCACACCTACTCACACCCGCTCACCCATCTACAAACACACAGACAGACAGACAGACAGACACACACACACGCACACACACACACACATAAAAACACTATTTCCAAAACCTGAAAAACCCACCTCTGTCAGTATTGGCAATGAATCACTTTGTTCTTTTATTTTCATCTAATAAAACAATATCATTGTCCCTCTGTTTGTTAGATCTGGCGTTTCCGTATGATGGCGATGTACTACCCCATGGCGTGCTTCAGCAACTACCTGTTCATCTACATGCCAACCATCGCAATCACGGCGGGGGTGGACAAGACTGATGCAGCGCTTCTGATGACCATCGGTGGCGCCATGGACCTGGTCACTCGCATCATCTCAGGCTTTTTGGGAGACAAGAAATTTGTTTCCAAGCCCAAGGTATTATGTAGTGGCAGAAAGTTGCTCAGCTCTGTCTTGTTTTAAAATGTTTAGTAGTAGTAAGAGTTTTACGGCACTTGAAACACAATAAGTTCATATAATTGCTGAAGAATGGAGGCGTTTCAAGAGGGTAACAAATATATAAAAGAAAGAGGATGAGACATCAGGATGATATATGTGAGGCAACGTGGTGAAATCAGGCGCTTGTCAAAATAAAAAAATCAAAGAAATCTGCATTTTTGGGGACTGTTGGACAATTTTTGTCTAATTTTCTGTTTTTGGCTCACACCTTTTATGTCCTTCGAAAAACAGATTTTTGTGTGGATTTTACTGAAAAACATTGATTAAAGGTACAAAAAATGGAAATTTTCAGTTTCCAATGATTCTCAGGCTATGGAGGTTACCAAACCTTGATGGCAATTTTCTCGTTAATTTTACATCTGAAACCAGGTAACCCAGACCTCCTTCAATCGCAAATAATTTGACTTCTATTCCTAATAGATGGATTTTTTTTTCACAAAAAGCAAGGTAAATGAACAGGTTTTAAATTGATACCAATAACCCCATTTGCCGAAAAAGTGACGAGCGCCTGATTCCACCACGTCGTGACATGTTTGATAGAAAAAAAGGAGCATACCACACAAGAGCACTTGCCAACCATCTGTTTCCTTTTCTTCCACATTCTCGGTGACACTTATATTATCAACCAGGTGATGTGCACAAAGTGCTCAGTCTGATTTAGATCCCCAAGGCTGCCATACAGTTTTCCTCTCCAGTGGTGAATCATATGGCCGCGTCTATGATCTTTATGTTATGTTGACCCTTGCTATCTATTAATCCTGATTTTGTATCACGCTCGAGGTGGGATGAAGGCGGTGGTATGAATGTGGCACAGCGGGCAGTGGAACGCTGAAGCAGTGTGTAGGCCTAGTGTGCTGTATCATGACTGGCCATCTAAATTAAGTTTTCCTTTCCCATTCGACCACAAAACAAAACGAAACAAGCAAACAAAAACTACCATGGCGGGTAAAAATAACGGTGCACACTTTTACGGGACCGTTATAGGCCTACTTACAAAGGGATACAGCACGGGATATTTTCTACTTGAAAATCTCTGGATTATGTCTACTTCACACTCAAGCACACTGCGGCATTAAGCACGCTTAAGGCTTTCTCCCGATGACCGTGCTTTATAAAGTGATGTGCATCGTAGTGAAATCAGGCGCTCGTCAAAATAATGATATTGAAGAAACTGGCTTTTTTTCTGCCAGTGGCAGTTTTTATCGAATTTCTGGTTTTTGGCTTAACACCATTGCTGTTCTATTAAAAACACAGTTCTGTGTGGATTTTACTGAAAAACATTGATTAAAGGCACAAATAATGTAAGTTTTCAGTTTCCATGGACTATCAAACTGTAGAAATAACCAAACTTTGCGGCCATTTTCTCGCTAATTGTACCTCTGAAACCAGGCGATCCCGACCTCCTTCAATCGCGAATACCTCAACTTCAGTTCAAGATAAGTGTGTATTTTTTTCCATTAATAGATTGTCAAATGAACAAGCTTTAAGATGATACCAGTAACTCCAGATGCCAAAAATTGACGAGCGCCTGATTCTACCGCGTCGAGACACATATCGTAATCAGTTTTGCTGTGATTATTATACGTGCATATATATACATTCACTTGTATTTTGCTGTAAGATGAAATTATTATTATTATTATTATTATTATTATTATTATTATTATTATCATTATTATTATTATTATTATTATTATTGTCATTATTATTATTATTATTATTATTATTATTATCATCATTAGTATTATCATAAATATTATTATTATTGTTATCGTAATTATAACTTATTATTATTATTATCATTTTTTTAAAATTGTCATTACCATTAAGGTAATTATCATCATCATCATCATATTATTAGTATTATCAAAATTGTTTTTATTATTATTATTGTTATTATTATTATTATTATTATCATTATTATTATTATTATTATTATTATTATTATTATTATTATTAGGCCTAATTTTAAATTAATTATTTCTCCAATGATGTCTAAGATGGTGGCTGCCAGCTTGCTGGTGATTGTTGCGGTCTCTCACCTCTCCCGCTTCTTCAAGACGTACACGTCATTTGTCGTGTTTGCCGTGGTGGTGGGCGTGTTTGGGGGGTTCAGGCAGAACTTCTTCCAAATCATGCTCATCGAGTACTGCGGTGTGGAGCGTCTGGCAAAAGCTTTTGGCATCTCGGCCATGTTGGTGACGCTGACTCTGTCCCTCAACCATCCCGTTATAGGTAGGTGGCTCAGTGCAGGAGTTGGGGGGGTTTTGTTTTTTATTTTGTTTTTGTTTGCTTTTTGTTTTGTTTGTTTTGATTTTGTTTCCTTTGTTTTGTTTTCCTTTGACTTTTTCTGTTGCTTTTTGGTAGCCTGCGTAGGAAGCTGCCATTTACAGGCGCTAAAATATTATCATACTTACTGACAAGATCTTTCGCTTTCCATGGTCGGATGCCCATTCTCACCCATGTAGAGAGAGGAAAAAAATTGGTGTAAAGTGCCTTTCCCAAAGACACAACCTCACAAAGACGACTTTAGCCTAACCATTTTCTTTAGTTCTAGTAAGGTTTTACGGCACTCACAACTGCATAAGGTCATATGAACGCCAAGGGGTGGATGTCGACAGAGAAGTCCAAACGGGGAATCAGGCTTACTCTGCTCACCTCTCAAGCCTCAACAGCGCAAAGTCTGCTTTGATTATCAAGGCACCCCGGAAATAGCAGTTCACAAGAGAGTAACAAAGTAGCCTAATCATAAGATTATTGATGCCAGAAAGTGACCCTATTTTGGTAAATTCTAATCTTTCTCCTTTTTCATTTCTTCTTCTGCTCAAAACAGGTGCCTTGCTGGACGCTACAGGTAACTTCAATTTGGCTCTGCATTACGTTGGAACAATTCTCTTTATTTCTATTATAATATTGTCATGTGAGCCTATTTTTAGAAGACTTGACGAGAAAAGGGAAAGCAAGAAGACAGCTGAAGAACAACACCTCAAGGATGGAGATCCTGAGAGGGGGACGTTGAAAGCCTGAAAAACTGCTGTGAATATTTGAGGGTTTTTTCTGTGGTGGCAATACCTTCATGTGTCTATACTATAATAATGTTGATTAGAGTCAATGACAATGGTGATAATGAAGGTCATTTTTATAGAACCTACTTCCATGTGAACATAGCTCTAATAGCTTTATTGTACTAATTCATATATGAACGTATGAGTTGATGCAATGCTAGTTCTTTTAGGTTTTTTATTTTTTTAAACTCTCTTTGTATACTTGACTTGTGCAAAATGTTTTATTCCTTATTGTCAAAATAAGAAAATAATTTACTTCTAATTCAGCCTATGAACAGAAACTTTAGATAATTTTGTCACTTTTCACAAATTTTGAAATTTACATAAGTTATATATTTGGAATAAAAACAAGAACGAAACAGCAGTGACATACTCAAAGTGGGGGGTGATGATCAGCTGAAGAAAAAATGGAAACAGTGACACAACCATTTTGGAGGGGAGGGGTGGGGGAGGAGGGATTGTGGACGCTCATAATTTTTGTTGGTTTACTTGTTTTTTTTTCTGTCAGAGGATATTTGGTTCTAACTCCCCCTCCTAAACAACAGTAGAAAAAAAGATGGTTCTATCACTGCTTAGATTGCTTTAAGTAGGTTATCTTTTTCACGTTATGAGGGAAACTGCAGTTTAATTTTTAATTAAATGAAACAGAAAGCTGTAAAATACTGTGGATATCATATGTTCCTCTCTCAGCTGTTGAGTAGTGCAGAGCTGAGAAAAATTTCAAAATGGTCAAGGAATAGAATTTACTTATTTACATGGTACTGTCAATTGTCATAAAATTTCTTTTTGTATATTTTTATCTATGTTCATGACAATAATATGACAAAGTGCTAATGTGCAAGTTTTTCTGTACTGTCAGGATTCTCTCTGGGAAAATGAACAGAGTCATTGAGATGTCATCTGTATGAAGTAAATGTTAGTATTACACTGAAAGACATGAAGATACAAAGAAACACAAAGGGTAATTAGAGAATCATTTTAACAATTGTAATTTAAATTTCTTTATACTGAAAGACATGAAAATACATAGAGATACTAAGATTGCCCTGAGAAAGTATGATAATTGTGAGCCTCCATACAATAATTAAATGTATTGTGTTTTTTTTAAATAATAAGGTTTTTAGAAAGCAAATTGCTAATATTCAAATATAACGGAGCCTAAGATAAGCTTTAAAGGAGTCCTGTTGTTGCAGGATATGGCCAGTTCTTGAGATAATTGTTACTTTTTACAAATGTGTTGTGTTGATGCAGGTTAGTCTTACAGTGACTTTTCTGAGTCAGTGTTACCTTTGATGCAGGGTGATCTTACAGTGACATTTCTGAGAAATGTTGCTGTTGACTTAGGTTAGGCCTTTGTTGCAGGGTGATTCTTACTATGACATTTCTGAGAAAGAGTTACTTTTGATGCAAAGTTTTATTTCTTTATCTGATTGGACGCATGAGCATCTTTTGCAATGCCTTCTTCCATCTTATAGGTATGTGATTTTGTAAAACATGTATTTGAAAATAGGACATTTTTTCCCAGGAATGTTTACTGATTGAAAGTGTTTCTTGAAACTTAATTCCATACAGAATGTCTTGAAGTTTCCTCTGCTTGTATGATTTTATTTTCACTTTTCCTCTGATGAATTCCAAAGTGTGATATACTTTTCTCTACTTCCGAATCAAATTTATCTTGCTTTTATTTTTTCTTATATGTGGTTGATGGTAAAATGTGAAATCCATTGTCACTTTCATCATTCTGTGTGTATTTTTCTGTAATACTGTGGAGCTGAATCATAACAATCATTGGTCTATTCCTGGAACTAATGATCTTCTTTCTCTTTTCTGGTAAGAAAAAACGAAAATCCAAAAGGGGAAAAATGACATTGAGTTTTGTTCATGACAACTCCAACCATACTCTTATTTGTTCATGACAACCTCATATAAGAGGTGTGCTTACATTATAATGAATTACTTCTTGCAATCTGCAAATTAAAATATTGGTTGAAATCATCACAGGGCTTAAAATTTTAGATATTCTTCAAGTTTAGCATGCATGTCTGTTATCATTTCATACAAATATATTGTTCAAGTTCAACCTATAAATTTGACGCATCTGTGTATATACAGGGCTTACATCTAAAAAGTAACTCATTTTGTCAGCATACCTCACTTACCTTCTTTGTTGTTAACCCTTTCATGACCTATATGATGTACACCGATAGTCATTTTATCTTACACAGCAAACGAACCAAGATGCTGTTGTAACGTGCGCCGTTCGTCACGCCTTCTGAAACGCGAAGAACATGATGGCAAACACCGTTTGTCATAGGCTGTATTTGGCATACTGCTTCTATTAGGTGCATTTTGTAAAAGTAATCGCAGATTTACATTCAGGAATATTTTTTTCCGTACAAAGAAATCTTTTCTTTTTAGATGTAGTTAGTAGTTTTTGCGAACTGAGTCTATTTATAGAAAACTGGCAACTAAATCTAGCGCGTATACCCTGTGTCCCTAGGGGTCCAAAACTGTGTGCGGTAAAGCACAAACTGACCCTGTCACGAAGGGGTTAAGAATATTGTCCACGGTTAGTGTGAGCAGAATGTAGATAAAATGAATCATTACTAAAACTTGTAAGGTACACAGAAAACCTTGATGGTGTGGAATTGTTTTCACCATTACTAGTTTCTCACTTTTTTTGATGGTGTTAAGTTGGAAATTTCACAGTATGATTCTATAGGTCTATGCTGTGTTATGATAGAGCTTTGGTGTATGCAGACTTAAGTTTTTTGTCTTAGCTGAAAGACATATTATTAACCCTATGGGATCATTTTGTACCCCAGGGGTTGTATTCTTAGAGTACTTCTAGTGCGAAGATCTCCTAGATTTCTCAAAAAATAATTTTGACTGACTGCTATGCAAAGTGTACGGATCAAGTAAATTTCCTCTTTGGAAAGTGGTGGCACAGAGCATAGTATGAACTTTTAAAGATGGTGAAATGGTATTATAATAGTAATATTAATAATAATAATAATAATAATATAATAATGTTGATCATTTATATAGCGCCGGCTTCCATATCAACACAGCCCGAGGCACTTTACATAAATACAAACACAAAGAGGCACTTTACATAAATACAAACACAAATGCATAAATTAACAATATAGTAGCACATGCAGTGAAAAATTAAGCTTTGCTCATATGCACACACAGACGAAATCACACACACACACACACACACACACAAACACACGGACACACACACACACACACACACACACACACACACACACACACACACACACACACACACACACACACACACAAACACACGGAACACACACACACACACACACACACACACACACACACACACACACACACACACACACACATACATACTCTCATGCATAAATCCTTTGAAATTCAGATGACCCTTACATGAAAGCGGCATTAGTTCTAGCTGGGATGAATAATAAAAGTAATAATCTGACTATACACTGTAATATTGCAAATTGCGTTTGCTTTGACAAATTACCTCATGACTTCATATTAGCTATAAAAACTGGATTTTTCTAAGCAAAGTTGTTTTTTTCTTTTGTCTGTTTGGACTTTCTGTGCAAATCTCATGAAGCAAACATTAAAAATATTGATGTATACAAGAGTTTGAAAAATGTGAACATGTTTTAGTGTGATGTCAATTTTGAAACAAATGTGATCATATGTCCAACTGTTTCTGCTATTTACACATTCCTTACAATTTGCCTCAGGGTAATTTTGCTGTTCTTATATGATTTGGTTTTTCTAAAGTTTTTATTTTAAGTAAATGAACATACAGATGCATCATTGTTCTTAGGTCATAACTGGTGAAATTTTGTCTTAAATAATATGTCATTGGAGAACATCATTTTCTCAATCTCAGAGGAACAAGGTGTACAGACATCTGATGATGCTTTGGTCTCAAAATGAATAGGCCTACACTTCTAAGACTGAAAAAGTTTATCTTGCGAGGGGTATCTTTCATTTTTCACCTAGGTTTTGCACTGTCAATTTGGCTACTGTACCTTTCAACTTTGAAAAAGACAGGCTTTTTTTTTTTACTGTTTTGATTTTTTCTGGTAAAAAAATATGATTCACACCTATGACTTTAATGTTTTTCATAATCTCCCCCTGCCTTGGAGTGTAAGCCACCAACAAAGAGCTCTCCATGTACTTCTGTTTTAGTTGTATTCTCCACCTCTGTCCAGCTGTATCCCATCTATTTTAGGTCTGTACATAAGTCTTTCCTCAAAGTATTCCTCTCTTATTTTGTTTCCTTGAGGATTTTATCTTAAAGCTTGGTGGGTAATTTTGGGTTCAGTTTTCTCACGACTTTATTGTTAACAGGGTGCATTTTTGTTAACTTGTTGCGTCTAATCAGCTAACTTTGTTTGTGACATTACCCCTACACCTTGCAGGGAGTCTGACCAGGGCTGTTTTGCTCTGTTTCAGGCTATAATAATAATACTAATAGTTTGCCTACCAATGTCTGATGGTAACCAATGCATCTGCAGGGGATAATAATATGTCTTGAAGACAAATATATAAAATTATGTTTAAGATGATTTGTGGCTTCAGTGATGACCATAGAGACCAATACAAAACAGAGAAGAGTTTGCCACATTCTGAGCGTCTACAATTTTCACTAAAAATTTCCACTTGTGGATCTGTGCAGCTTGTGGGTTTCTCTCTTAAATTGGCTTCAGATTTTCTAATTCTTGAAGTGTCATAAAATGATTTGCTTCCCTCTGTGAATGCTAATCTCCAACTGGGTTTGGCGGGAGCTAGGCTCTCCCAAACTAGTAACCATGCTGAGTACTGCTGAATAAGACAAATCTGCAGGGAAATGTTGTCGTATGGCATGGTCTCGTTTATTGTTTGACTTATTTTTTTTCCGGATGTTTTTGTTTGGATATGTTTTTCTCCTGAGTCTGTTACCTATCGGGGATGAAGAGCTCAGGAACTTGCACTTATTCCATGTCCATAGGGCAGTCCTTTTTCCAAATCCGCCATGCCACCACAAGTAATAAATTGCATTTTAAAATGTTTTTACAATTTCTTTTCTGCAGCACATGGCGTCTTTGCCTCTCGTATATTGATGTGCCATCTTCTGGTCAGTTCATTTACAATTTTGATGTAATTGAAAATAATTGATTCTGATTCATTAACAACTGCAAGCATTTCACTGGTTCAAAGCTGAAATGTTCTATCTGCAAGACCTTCTTGTTATAGACAGTGCATGTTAACTCTGGACCTGAGATTTATTAGCAAAATGTGAATTGCCACATTGTGGACAAGTTGTTCAGCTATTTTAAGCCCAGAGACTAACATTTTTTAAGAGAGAGAAAAAACTGTTTTATTCCTTTTCTAAAATAACCTATGTACATATGTTATCTATCTTTTCTTGCTTTTTCTGCAGCATCTAGAATTTGAGTTTCATCAAAATAATACTAGAGCACATGCAACCGATAACACAGATCAGGAAACTGCAGTAAAAATCTTGTTCAAAGTTTTGCGGTTAATACGTCTGAACAGTTGGTCGATAATATTAAGTTTGTCAAATCTTTGCCACTCTTCTACTCACTTTTATTACTCCACACTGACACAGGTATATAGGCCTATATATGTCTATTGTTTGGACAGAGAATAGTAATTTTAACTAGAATGTAATAATAATCTCTGTCTCCACAGGATAAAATGTTTGCATTATTAAAACAATAATTTGATGTTGTTTAGCTTTACATTTTCTTACTGTGATCATCCATTTTGAGTACTAGTCGTTTACTTTGAAAGCATTTGATCTGAAAAAAAAGAAGAAATAATGTGTTTTATTATGCTTCGGTAGTTTTATTTCAGTCCACTAACCCATGAGCTTCAATGGGAGGTACAGCTGAACCCATTGTCAAGGAGCCAAAGGAGGAATTAGTGGTCTTCTGAGATATCCTGTCTCTGACAGCATAATTTTAATACAAGTATGAAAAAAAAATAAAAGGGGGAAAAGTGAGAGGTGGTTGTTTGTACAGGTGGTTGTCTTTGTCAGTGTCAGGTGGTCATTGGAGTGGGTTTGAATGTACCTGTAAATGTTAAGTTGTAAAGTTCATATAGAGCTTGCTGTTTATCGGGGATGCACTATACAGATGCTGTTGATTTTTTGAAAATTATTATTGTTACCTTTGAGAAAGCAAGGTGCTGTTCTGTTACAAGGAACGGTGCTGTTATTGGTATGTTTGACTGTATTTTATGTCCTCTGAGAATATGCTTCATAAGTTCACATTTTACTTAGAAATTCTATATTTCTTTGATGTAAGCCTATATATATATACATTTATATAATATATATAGTCGCGTCCGAAAGCAACTTGAAAGTGTAATCACCCGATCATCGTGTTAAAGCTTGGCACCACCCACTCATGCACTATACTAATTTAAACCGAAATGAATTCTATATTGTCTGATACATTAATATTTCTTCTATGTTAACGCCTGAAATATGGTCACTAAATTGCCCTTACAAAATCAGGTGTGGCAAAATTGTGTGAAAGCAAAGAAACATAAATCTGTGGAATGGACATGAATTAAATATCAAAATAAAAAGAATATTATTGTTGTTGCAGTGAACAGCATCTTCTGGTCATATTTTCAGACTAGAAAACAGAGCAGCGGCAAATACTTCACAGAACCTGGACTTAACATTACATGTGCTCATTTTTATTCAGGAGCTATTGGTTTTATTTAGAGCCCGAAACATTTTTTGCACATGGACTGTGTTAGTTAGATTTTGGACATAATCGTTTGTTAGTGAGGAACAGAGGCCATGAAACTGTCATAGTTTTTGGTGGTCGGGATTGGAATAAACAAAACCGCCCAAGTGAGAATCCCCGGATGGCTTGGTTTAGTGGACTACATCGCACAAGTGCCTGAGCGTCATTTCTTTCCCTTATTTTAGTTATGATGTCATTCATGTTAACACCTCCATGCGTAGCAAAGCACTTTCTCATAAGGCCAATGCCACTGACAATTCTTGGAAAACCAAATCATGAATCCTACAGTTATGTGAAGTCCCATAAAACAGCAGCTGAAGATAAGCAACTTTGCTCCCAATTCTGACCCTTTGTGTGAAACTCTCTGTGAAATCTGGGATGAAATGACAGATGGTTATGTCCAAAATTTAATATAGTTGATGTCCAAAGGGTTCGTGCTCTACACAAAACAAATGGCTCAAAAGCAAATTAACAATGAGTACATGTAATGTTCAGTCTTAAGTTTTGTGTGGTATTTGTGATTGCTCGATTTTCCATTTTGTTTGAAAGTATCCCAATAAAATAAAATATTGTTTGTTGCATTTACAAAATTCTCAATTCATTGGATATGCAGTTTGTGTCCATTCTATCAATAGTGATGCTCCTGAATATAGGTGCGAAGACAATTTTGCTTTTTGTTTGATTTTGCACAACTTTGCCAAGTCTGATTTCTTAAGGTCTATTTAGAGTGACAATATCTCGGATGTCCCTTAACCCCTTCGTGACATATGGTTTTTCCAACTTTTACTGCACCCAATTTTTGCTAGCCACGACATTCAAAGCTATTATAGTGAAGTTATAACATGAATGTAGTAAGGTCCACGAAGTCAGCCTAATCAGCTGATTTTAGGATGTACATTGTACTTTGTATGGAGGACGGCATCTTGGCTCACAATGTTGAATGTGCAGTGTACGGGAGCTGCCACGAAAGGGTTAACATAGATGAAATATTAATGTCTCTGATGATGCAAAATGAATTTAGCTTTAAATTGGTATGTTGCATAAGTGAGTATTGAAAGGCTTCCACACGATGAA